ATGTAGAGTAAAAAGCACAACTTGAAAGATCGTTAGCAATTGTTGAAGATGAAGATTAGTAGAAATCGATTGAACACTTGAACTTCTACCTTGGATGAAATCGATGATCACAAAGCTAAAATCAATAACAATCTTGTAATGAATTGTTGATGTCGATAGATGAACATAAACCTCAATCACTCAAATCGAAGCAAATATAAGATTGATTAGCATGAATCGGAGATTAAGGAATGTTGACCGATTAGTATGAATTGGTAGAAAGAATCGAAGCAGCTGGGTTTTGTGATAACGTGAAGATAACACATCTGATGATCTAAAATTTAACCTAGTGACTAATCTACCCCTAATTAACTAATCTTTTAGACTAATTAGTGTTAATCATGTTTTTTTATGAGCCACAAGATCAGTTTTGATCAAAGGCTTAGATTTGGTCCTCATGTCTCACAAAATATAAGTGGTCTCAAATGAACCTCTACCTATATATATATATATATATATATATATATATATATATATATATATATATATATATATATATATATATATATATATATAACATGTGGATTGTGGATATTATTAATTCTCTTTTTAATGTTTCTTTTGTTTTTCACATTAATAAGTAAGAAGATAGATAGTAAAAAAAATATACCGGGATATTTGATTATATTTTGATTTCTCATAGATGTATACTATCACTCCACAATCCAAAGACCAGGGTTTGTATAGAGTACGAAGGGTTTTTTATTTCTTTCATGCTCCTCAAATCTTCCACTTCGAAGAAGAAAACACTGTCCAAAGCCTTTTCTTCTTCCAAAATTTGACCAGCTAAACCTATCTTTGGTAAAAATGGCGACTCTTGTTCCCCCTCCACCAGCGGCGGCGGCGGCGGAAGCGATCAAACCGGAGAAAGTCGATTACATGGATCTACCATGCCCTATTCCTTACGAAGAAATCCACCGGGAAGCCCTCAGTTAATATCTTGCTTCCCCTGAACCTCAATTACTGAATCGGTATCGTTAGTTTTGTTTTAGTTTTTGCTGTAAACGATTTAGGTGATTGATCTGAATGATCACATAAACCCTAATCCATTATCATCGTTAAACCCTAAGCTACTTGATACTTTTGAAATTGTTTACTTTCTTGATTAGAATTATTTCTATGGTCACGAAATATACGTATTTATCACCCCGTCTTGGGGCACCGGAACCTTTATCATGGGGATAGATACCTTCATAGTATTTTTCAAATTGGGGTTCTTGCTCAACTCTACATATATAATGCACCTTTTATTCAAACCTTAAACGTTCAAGAGCAAATCCTACACATACATTCGATTCAAGAAGTTAAATCTATTGTTATGGAAATAGTATTTTCCTTAGGACGATTTGTTGGTAAGTGCTGCAAGAAGACTTATAAGCAATGATCACATTGTATCAATTCTTAAATAATGCGTTGTTATTTTCTTATTGTATTCAACAATCTGTAATTGGTCGACTATCTTGGTGTTTCATATTGACCCAAGACACATTCAGTTCAATTGGTAGCAAGAATGCATGATACTTGAATAGAATCACCTGCAAACTAGAAACATAAATGAAGTTGTACTTTCAACATCATCTTAGATTGAATATTTTCTTGTTCTCTAGTGTCCTTAAAGGCTGATTATTTTGAGGGGATGCGAGTTGATTTTACTAAGGGACTCAATCAGAGGTTCTCACTAAGTCACAGGTACTAATTCCAAATCAACATATGTTCTTTGAGTTCATATGAACTTTCCTCCTTTTCTGTTTTGATAATTATCCAATTTTAAACTTTATAGTATTGCCATGGGACCCACGGAGCTCCCTTCTCAATCTGCTGAAGTAATTAAAATTCCAACTGCAAACTACGAGTTTGGTGCAAACTTCATAGATCCAAAGGTCGGTTATTTATGATCATGTCTCATGTCATCTATGACCTTAGTTTGCTGTTTGCTTACTGGAAGGGTAGTTTTGTAATTTTTTGTTGTGTTGTAGTTAATGCTTATTGGAAGAGTTTTAACCGATGGACGAGTAAACGCGAGAGTGAAATGTGACTTGTCTGAGAATCTTACCATGAAGGCCAATGCTCAGGTAGAAGGGTAGATTAGTAATTATTAATATTTACATATAATACACATGAAGCATTTTTTGGGTGAATGAATGTTATGGATAATTCCTTGTGTTTTTTCTTCTCAGCTTACAAGCGAGCCACACATGTCTCATGGAATGTTCAATTTTGACTACAAGGTAAATTATTAGTCTTGTATGCTTTACAAGTTTTCCATTTTATTAAAATTTATGTCATTTTATTGGTAACTGATTATGCAATTTGTATGCAGGGTAGTGACTATCGGACTCAATTCCAACTTGGAAATGGTGGTTTGCTTGGTGCTAGTTATATTCAGGTAGAAGATTTCTTATCTCTTATATTAATTTGGTTTTTATTTTTTAGTGTTAACAAAATAAAAAAATAAAAATAATAATATTTTGGTTGCAGAGTGTTACCCCTCATTTGTCATTGGGTGGGGAAGTATTCTGGGCAGGTCAGCATCGTAAGTCTGGTCTTGGTTATGCTGCCCGATACAATACGGATAAAATGGTAATTTTCTCAAATTTTAACATGTTTTATATTTTAAAATTTTAATTTCTAGTCTATATCTCTATTGACTATTATTTATTATTTTTGCTTCAGGTTGCCTCAGGACAGATTGCTAGCACTGGAATGGTGGCTCTTAGCTATGTTCAGAAAGTGTCTGAAAAGGTAACTTCTTGTTAAATGTTATTGGTATTAATTTTTTTATTTTTTATTTTGGACTTATTACATTACTTTTGTCTCCTTTGTTGTATGTAGGTTTCATTAGCATCTGATTTAATGTACAATTACATGTCAAGAGATGTCACTGCCAGCTTTGGCTATGATTATATACTTCGCCAGGCAATTCAACCAACTGTTACTGTTTTTTTAAAAAAAAAAAAAATAAAGTTTGTGAAATTGGCATCAAAATTCTTAATTTTAAAAAACTAATATTTTTTACATCGACAGTGTCGGCTTAGAGGCAAGATTGACTCAAATGGCTGCACATCTGCTTTTCTTGAAGAAAGGTTGAGCATGGGTCTTAATTTTATCATCTCTGCTGAGGTCAGTGCATTTATCACACTCAGTAACTTGACATCATAAAGTAAAGTAGTATTATATGCAATAAATACCAATATACTTTTTCTTTAATTTTATTCCTATCACGACTTTCTTCTACACAATTTGTAGCAATCTCATCAAATGAAGAAAGCAGTTTTCATTGCTAGAACTAGTAGCTACATTTTTTAAAGGATGAATAAGGAAAAAAAAGTTGAAAATACAATGGCATAATTAGGTAGGTATTTTAAAGTAGAATGATAGTTTGCTAAAATTTATGAAACATTCAGATAGACCACATGAAGAAAGACTACAAGTTTGGGTTTGGATTGACAGTTGGAGAATAGATACAACAACACGCTTCATTGTTTTGTGAGTCAAATTGATTATTTTTTGCAATCTTGAGGACAAAATATTCGAGATTTATTTTTATCTTTTCTGAGCAATACATGACAGTTTAGAGTAGCATTACTAGTTGTAGACATTTAATTTTGCAGTTTGGGGATGTAATTTAATGTAGTATGTTTTCAGCCATTTCCATTTCAATTTCCATTTGTATGGATGAATCATCATAATCATAATAAGGGATAAACTATATGGTAACTTTGATTGTGATTGATGGGACAAAATCTAGAAAAGGTGCAACTGTTGGAAATATGTCACAAGTTTAAAAATTATGCTATTTCAAGTTTAAAAAATGAGAAACCCTTTCAAATATGACCAATCCGATGAACCAAGTAACTTTCTTGTTAAATTATATTTTACAAAGCCTCGTATAATTGTTTTTAGCAACACGTATATGGTACCCATTTGTCACTGTGTAGCTCTTAACACAAACTTTTACACCCCGCTTCCGAGTTCAACTTAAAGAGAGAAAAGAAAGGAAATGGGAGGAAATGAGGGGAAAGTAAGAGAGAATGGTGCTCCCGAGTTTCATTAAAGGAAGGAAGTGGAAGGAAATCGAAGGAAAACTTTCCCTCCTAACTTTCCTCCCGATTTGGGAGGATTTGAAAAGAAAGAACAAAATGTTTAACTTTCCTTCCATTTCTCCCCAACTCGGGAGCACAAATGACAAATTCTTTTTCCTTTCTTTTCACTTCTTTTCTCTCCTTACTTTCTTTTCTCTTCTCTTCTTTTCTTTGCTACAACTCGGGAGCGGGGTGTTAGTTGTTCATGACTCTCCTAATTTATATGTAAGCTTGGAAGAAACTATAGTTGTATTTATTTTCTAAAAAAAAATTGATTCTAACCCTCCCTTTGCCTGATTTGTTTTGTATATCGACCTACATCTGATTTCCCTTCTTGAAAAATTGAATTTTGTCTCAATAAATATCCATATATTTAATAAAATGTAAGCAACATCAGATTTTTGGCCGGTTATTTCTTCTATAAACATGTAATTTGGATTTATTTACAAGGTAGAAAATTGATGTGTCATTTCTGTGCAAAAGTATATATACAGGTGGTTTTCTAAATATAATATAAATGTATAATATGTTACGTTTTTCTGTTTTTTTTTCTTTAAAAAATTTTAGAGTTTAAAGTCAAGAGTTGAATTAGTTAAAGAGCTTGTTAATTTAGTTAAGAAATAAAGACATGATGTCATATATTTCTATATTAAAATTGACAAAACATAATATACAACGTTATAAAAACAATAAATAAATTAGAACATTTCATATTTTTATGATAAATATTCCTCACCATTCCCCCATTCCCCATCATGTTTCTTGTAACTTGTTGGTTCTACAATGATCCCTCCCGGGCCCAGACCACAATAGGCCCACATCACCAAAACTCATTATTCTTACGTTTATCATTTATAACATGAATCACCATAAACACTTGTGCTATTTGCATATCTCCCTTTAGTTTCTTAATTAAACAGTTATTAGAATCTTCATAATATAGAACGGGGATTTTGGTTTACATATATAAATCATTAATTTGTGGAGATCTTCTGACTGTATGACTATTATATAACAAATCCCATCAGTTACTATCGTGACGCGTTCCTGGAATTGCTCGGATTTTGTATTGGGATTTTTATAATTTCGTTTATGGTTCTGCTGCCATTTTTGAATGTTGAAAATCAAAAAGCCATGGAAGGAAGAACTCCTGCTTCTGGTTTTAGCACAATTGTTGATCAAACAAGTTCAAGTAACCAAATCATGTGGTTGTTTTCAGTTTTTGGAGGCATTATCATGTGTAAAGTTGTACGTATTTTTACTCCTAATTTTGTATATTTGATTTTTTTTTTTGTTAGTGATGATAAGTTGTTTTAAGGGTTAAATGGTTATCAAAATTTAATATGAAACTTCATATGATAAAATTCAATAACGGACATCTTTCTCAAGAGAAAGATATCAAATAAAAGTCACAAAAAAGAACATCTTTCTAAAAACAACGAAAACAAATAAAAGCCACAAATTACGTTAAAGGAAACGGTAAACATTAATCGATTATCCTTTTTAATTTTATTTATTTATTTTTGCAGTAAAAGTGATTATTTAACATCTAAATAATCATATAAACAGAAGCACACTATCTTTATATATTCAGACATTAATATCTGATTATTGTGATTTTAAATAGTCTTTATCAAAATAATTAAGAGGTTCTTCTTTTGACATGGTATGTTGATGTGCTTTGTTTTTACTTGAATTCTAAAAAGGTTATATTAATTTTTGTGTTGAAGGCTTATGATTTGACGGGTGTAATAAGCCCCTTGGTCTTCAAAGGTTTTAACAAACTCGAAAGTGTGCAGAAATTCGAATGGAAAAACCGGTTATGTTCTTTTACTTGATTTAATTAGTACATGCATTAGCTTTTTGTTGGATTAAACTTACATGTATATCATCTCATTAGCTCACTTTATGTTAGTTTATATATATGTTTTAGGGGCATCTCGACCTTCCATGCACTTTTTGTGGCCGTTGCTTCGTATTACTTTTTGGTCGTTTCAAATCTTTTTGATGAGTCTGCCCAACAAAAGTTCATCATCTATCGATCATCTGCATCATCCAACACTATACTTGCGGTATGTGATTTTGTAATCCTCATTTTTTTTATTTTTATTTATTTATTTATTATTTTTTTTTGTATGTGTGTGTGGCGTCATAAGGATTAAAATTATTAAGAGGATGTTTGAGATTACTTTTTGATGTTAAAAATCCTTTTTGTAAAATAACTTTTTAGTTAGTGATTTTTTCTAAAAGATAATCTTTAAAATGTATTTGTATTTGCTTTTAGAGTAAAATCATTTTTTCATGTTAAAAAATCTCAAAAATCAGAAAAAGATAGGATTTTAGAAATTTTAAAATACTAACTTTTTCTCATATACAAAAAATTATTTTAAAAGATTTTTTGCATTACCCAAACATTTTTTATCCATTTTTTTTAATTTTTTAGAAAATTTAAAAGACAAAAGTTGTTTTAAAAGCAATCTCAAAATACCCCCTAAGTATAGAACATGTTATAACATCAAAAAAGTATCTTCTCACGTATCACCACGCATAATATTATAACACTATTGTGGATAATGGTCATCATTTTATAACATCAAATAATTTCCATATCAAATAATTTCCATGTCATTATTTTTTTTTTAATTTTATAAATAATTATAAAAACAAATATAATTTTATTAAGCATAACATTTAAATAAATCATCATTTTAAATTAAACATAACATTCAAATTAAAAAAAAACATCACAAAGACGAAAAAACAATTTTTTTCCTAGATACACTATTCTTTATCGTTATTATCATCGTAGATATAATCTGCTAACTCTTCTCGAAGTTGTATGTATTTTTGTGCGTCTTATATGTCAACGACTCTGTGTAAATGTTTCGTTGTACCTTGTTGAAATTGCACTTGTCTGGTCTCCGAAGATATATACTCTATAATATTTTGTCATTTATCTTCAGTCATCATGTTATGTATTATGATATACGCATACATAATATATCGTAGAATTTATATATCATATGGTCGTGCCACATGTTTAAGTAAACTATGTGCCGCATCTACTTCAGAACTCCAAAAACACGTTCCACATCTTTATGTTCTCATTTTTGTCTTCTTTTGGAGCACGTTCCACATTGTTACGTGCTTATTCTTGTCTTTTCTTGAATAATTTTTCTCTTAGTTCCACTAGGTGTCAGAATGCCTTCATGAATGTGGAATACACACGTCTTCTTAGTAAATGAGCTACATCAGGTTGTAGTGGTTCGTTAGTGTAATACTCGTACATCATATTTATGAACATATCATCATTTTCATCGTTGGATGAGTCGAACGAATCCATAATTTTTTCGAGGAAGTATTGAAATTGTATAAAACATAGTTACCTAATTCGCTCAGATGGCCACGAACCCCGTACCAAATCGTTTCGTACCCAATCGTGGTACGAAAGCGATCCAAACGATTCCCGAATCGTAAATCGGTACAGAGTCGAGATGGTTCCAAATCGGTACCTCGAACGAGTTTGATTCAATAATCTAGTAGTTTTAAAACGCGATTCTAGGTTCAATTTATGAAATCAGTATGTCGATTTCTGATTTTTGTTCACCGATTTTGGAACGGCCGGAAATTGCCGACTCTTCCACAACGACTCTTAGAGACTCTTAATTCTTTTGATTCATTGAACCATCTTACACACTAATGTTCAGTTTCTTATTCCGACTACTATTAATTTGTATATAATACTCAATTTGTTAAATCATCTTCTACAATGATTGTTTCAGTAGTCAATACTACTGTTCTAACTTCCGATTTCTATAGAGTCTAGTAAACACCACAACACCACTAACATGTATATATACCTACAAATGCATACCAAATTCCATCATCCAAATCTGTTCTACACTTCTAATGTTCTTTTTTAATTCATGTTATATTTTTATTTCCCAAATTAACTCAAAATTCATGTTATGGTTTTGGAATTTGGTACACTGTACCAAACTAAATGGTACACTGTACCAGATCGTTCCAAAATGAACTTACCCCCCTCCGTACCGGATACGGTAAATATGGCGAACCTCGTTCCCGGTCCTCGTTCCCGTACCGGAGCGAATGGGTTTTTATTGGTTGATATTCGACGTTACACTTCGTCCTCGTTACCACGCAACTTACCATAATGGCTAGCCAGGCAGTGTTCCAAGCGTTATGGTGCCGCTTCGGAGTTGCCACATCATCAACCACAACGTTAATAAGCCCATACCTGATAGTCTAACAGACAACCGGGAAAAATGGTGTGTGCCTATTTGGTAATGCCATGAGACAAATTTTCATATGTAGTTACGTTTCATTTTTTAGGTTCTATTTATATGGTATGAGAAGATAGAGATATAAGATTGAGGATCCCAAAAATTATGGTGGGTACCACATAACGAGGAGACGAGAAAATTTGTATATCTGATGAGATTAGAAGAGTTTTCATATGTAAAGACCAAAGTTTTATTTTCTATGTTATAATAAGATTTGATTGTGGGTCCTATTTAAGAGAAATGATAGACTTATAATATGACCTTCATAATGGAAAACTTATAAATATCGAATGCATGCACTTAATGTACGTATATATACTTGTATCATTCCAGATGTCCCTTGGTTACTTTTTGTTAGATTTGGCGATGATTATATGGATGTATCCGGCTTTAGGTGGTCCAGAATACGTAAGTATACAGATGATTATATGAACATATCATGTTTTATTTAGTTTTGATCTCTCTATCTCTTCCTCTCTTGCCTATTTATAGGTATTTCACCATGGGATCTCTATGCTCGGTATCATTCAATCCCTTATATGCGGCCAAGCTCAGTTTTACAACTTTATTGTTCTATTCTCGGAGATCACAACACCATTTGTGAACCTAAGATGGTATTCATGATGAAAAACACTAAACAAATTCAATTTTTTCTTGGGATTAATCGATCATTAGATACACATATGTAGGTATCTTGATGTTGTCGGGAAGAAGAACTCCATGTTTTACTTGTTGAACGGCGTTGCACTGTTTGTAGGGTGGTTGGTAATGTCTATTTATCCTAAGGACATGCTTTCTTTTTCTCCAATGAAGTTATATATGGTTAAAATAATGTCTAGATAAATGATATGATGTCTAAACAATTTCCAAAAATACGACATAATTAGGGAAATGCAAAAAAATTATTAAGAGAGATATCGTAATAAGTTGGAACTTAATGGGAAAACTAACTTTATCTATCAAATCGTTTTTTACAACTTGTGGTCACGTAGGCTGCGAGGGTCATCTTGTTCATCTTCTTTTTCCACCACATGTTTACACATCTTGATCAGGTGAATTGATGCAACTTTGGTTGATTTGGAAGTTGGATCAACCTTAGTGTACTAAGGTTACACCTAACACCTAACACCTAACTGTGTGATCATTCTTTTTGTGTGTTGTTTTAGGTGAAGCAAACTTATTGGACAATATTTTGTAGCATGCTAACGATCCCGCTGGTATTGGCAATAATGAACTTGTTTTGGTTTTGGAAGATTGCCAAAGGGTTGATCAAAACCCTCATCAAGTTCACACGACATAGTCATGGGAGTTGATTGTTGTTCTTGTATTTATTTATTCTTTTTTGACCTTTTGACATGGAAAAATTATAATGCAAAATTAAAACATTAAAGTGTGAGAGTAACGATTGGGTAAATTATCGAGAAAAACATCATTTACTTTTGCTATTGATATATACAATGTACTTTATTTATTTTGTTTACTCGCACTTATATTTTTTAACCATATATCAACTTAATTTAAATCTATTTGTCAATAATAACATTTTTATTTTTTATTTATACTATCTACTTAATACTTTTAATAGCATGAATATATTTATTACCGATGTGAGTAATGTACTTTATGGTATATATCACTATAATTGATGTAAAACTGTAGACGTTTTATTATGGAAAGAAATTATAACTATATATGTTGTTTTTATGTAAGTATGTTGTTATTATGGTTTTCATATCTATATTATAGATGCAAATATTGAAATCACGTATCATTCTCGTTACCCAAAACAATGCAAATATTGAAATCACGTATCATTCTCGTTACCCAAAACAAATGTACAATGGAGCATATATATACTACAAACATACAAAGCAAATAAGGTCGAATATACAAGGTCTAGGCCAATACAAACAAATATCGGCTATATACAAAATATTGGCAATTTGAGCGGTAGGTTGATGAACATTCAAACTTTTACGAAAATCGTAAAAAAAGAGTGGAAGTGAGTCCTTTTGTGAAGATGTCTGCATACTGAGAGGTGGAAGGGTTGAATCGTGTCGGTGGCCACTTGAGCACAAATAAAATGTATGTTACTATATATATATGTTTGATGAGTTGTGTTGCTAATGGGTTAAAAAACATGTAATATGCCTAATAAACCACTAAGCTAAAGGGTTATTTTGTTTGTATAACCCTAAAACTCATTTATATTATGTTCGTTAAAATATAAATAATAATAAAAACGTATTTTTATATAAACCTATATTTTAATAAAACAAAATATATTTTAATGTATTTAGAAAAAAATAAGTTTTTATAAAGAATTTATATGTTTTTTTACGTATTTATTTTATATAAATTGTGTTTTTTTAATGTATTTAAAACATACTTTTGCATTTTATAAAAAATATTATACCAAAAACGTCATCTTTAGATAAACAATGGTTTTGTAAAAGTTGATTTGTATGATTTTGGTTTTGTAAGACGAGCCATGAACGCAGAAAACAAACAAAATTTATGGGTTGCAATACCCCTCGGTATTGGCAGCAAAGTAATCAATAAAAAAAAGGATTTTCTCTTGGTATCCATGCTCGGCTAGCATGGATTCAAAGGCAAATGTTCCAAAAAAAAAAATTATTTGGCAGCATGCTCTTGGTTTTGTTATTGGCTGTAACATTTTATTTTATTTTATTTTTATATTTTTTTTTTTTATTTTTATTTTTTTTGTTGTTGTTGTTGTTGGTAGTACAATCAGTTTTGGCATAAACTAATTTAGGGCTGCAAGCCTGCAAATAGTTGAAGGTTTTGAGGCTCAATTGAAACTCTCGTTTTATTGTATTAATAATTCAAGCCACTTAAAAAGAGTAATATTGTCACACCCCTGAACCGTCAGAAAACAACGGCGGAAACGTCTGGGGGCGGTTGACGTCATCGTAGTATCACAACAATCGTATCATAGCAATCAAAGTAAACACAACTATTACATTACAATATGAATATTTACAACTGTTTGAAAACATAATTTGTATACATCAGTACTGTAACAAAAGAAAAAGATGTGACTCCAAAAATGTTCCGTCTTCTCCAAAAGCTGGCAAGGTACCTGTTTATCGTTGCCCTGATAATACAAGCGGTTTTGAAAACGTATCAGCATAACGCTGGTGAGTTCGTAATCATATTTTTGTATTGAAAACTAATCACTGAATTTGTACAAATGTTTCTTTTCATTATAAGTAAATGTCGTTTGTATCGAAAACCATTGTTATCAAGTACTGAAATATGTATGCATGCTTTCCAAGAAAATCCAATATTTTCTAACATGTTTGTTGATTACTGTATGAAAAGTATGCTCCGTTTGAAAACCCTGGCTACCACCAGTATATAGTGTATGTCTGTTCGAAAACCCTGGCTACCACCAAGAAAATCAAATATTTTCTAACATGTTTGTGACTTGTATAACCATACTAATATGACCGGTGACCTCCTTGACGGTTCTTCAGGCGTCGTACGATTACAAAATTTGTCACCCTAGGCGTGGCCACCTGACTGTAGCTAACAGTTCAGGTGTGAGATTTTCGGTCCCGAATAGATCTATTCACAAATTTCACGCTCTCCCTGCAGGAGACTCTGGTTATACTAAAGGTGAGGATTTACTGGTACCCCGAGGGGCATAACGAAGATAGGTCTCACAATCCTGTACTAACTAGTTTACGTGTTGTTCTGTGATACTCGTGTTCGAAATCGTTTGTATACGACGTAGAGTATAAATAATTATACACAAAATAATTATTTAGTAAGATACTCTTGTTACCTTTAGATAATCATGGATAAACTAAATCTGTCATATTTTATGTGTTTGAATCTGTAAAATCGGAAATGAATTTCCTAAACTATACCTATTATAGTTTAACTAATAAGTTGTGTTCGTATACTGTTCTAAAAACTATGCAATTATAATTAGAAAACGTCCCTTATGCTCCGTATATTACAAAAGGGATAAGGTATCTAAATGTTTGATGTAAAATCGTTGTAATTGCATCATTTTTTAATTTGTGAAAACCTTTATGTGTGGCTTGTATTCCCCCCATGAAAACATGAAAAACTAATAAAAAGCGTAGGGGTATGAACTCACTGTTTAACGTAGGATTCGAGTGTACGATCGGTATGAGTGCTGAGTGTCAACTGATGTTTCGTACGCAGATAGATCCTATTAACATATAGTAACACATATATGTATTAGATTAGGGTATTCAATAACTAGACATGATAGGAAACCACTCTCAGGACTCGGGAACATTTGAACTAAGTGTTAAAACCTCATGTGATTGAGTGAAGGAGGTATATGGCCACCTTAAGGGTGTGTACGGCCATGGGTGTACGGTCCATGAGTGTACGACCGTACACTCATGATGAGGAGTGTTTTTGAGGTGTTTCAAAGGTTCTTCAAGCATCCAAGGAGTGTTCTAGGTCCCATTCTTAGTGGTTTTTGCAAGTTTAAGGCCAAATATGAGCATAAAAGTGGGTGTAAGGCCATAAAAGTGGGTGTAAGGATATACACAGGAGTGTGCAGCCGTACAGAGTGTGTGTGCGGCCGTACACTCTTCATTTATGCTCAAAACGTCTATTTTCAGGTGATTCAAGGGTTAATACCAAGTTCAAGCTACTAGATGGGGGCCAAACTCTCACTTTGGAGAGTCTTTAAGGTGTGTACGACCACCTTATGAAGGTGTGCGGTCGTACACCTTCAAGTGATGAAGAACATGAAGAGTTTAGGCTTAGATCAAGATATCTTACCAGTATAACTAGTTAAATGATGGAGTACTTCACGCTTTTGAGGCATTTGGAGTGTTCTTGGATGAAGATTCTAGAGAGAGAAAGTAGAGTGCAGCCAAAGAGGGAAAGGAATGAATGAAGGGGTCACCCTCTATATATATAGGGGTGAGTATGCGGCTGGGGGGGGGGGGTGTGGGTGTGCGGCTGCACACCCGTGTGTGCGGCCGTACACACCTCCCAAGAGGGTGTATGGCCTGGTTTTGTCCATATACGACTTGTTGACTCATTCCTAATCTCATTCCCAGCTGTACTCGGGCTTAGAACACTTAAACGAACCCTTAAACGACGTTAAAAGATAACGGAATTGAGTTTAATATTGATAAAATTGACCAATCATACAGAATAAAAGTTTTGGGTTGTCACATCATCCCCCCGTTAGAGGGAATTTCATCCCGAAATTCAAGAATAAAGATATAAATCATGGACTTGGAAATAGATGGGGGTACTTTTGTTTCATTGAATCTAGGGATGTCAAAAACCCCCGTGGAACCCCGCTCCCGTGGGATCCCGATCCCGTATGGGACTAAATTTTTTAAAAAACCGGGAGCGGGAGCGGGGACAAAATTAAACCCCGCTTATTTTCGGGACCGGGGACAAAATTAAACCCCGCTTATTTTCGGGACCGGGAGCGGGAGTTGGTATTCCCGTCGCGTACTCCCGCGGGGCCCCGGTTGTACATTTATGTAAAAAAATATTTATTTAATATAAAATACATATACAAAATAGATTTTCTAATTTTAAGTGTAGGTTAGGTTTCACTTTCCCGTTTTCAATTAATAGATATTGAAGAGGTAGTGAATTAATCATATATTTTTGGATATGTAAGTATTTTATATTTGTAATATTGGATTTGTCATATTTTATATTTTTAAGATTGATGGAATTGTCGTTTTGTAATATTGAATTCGTAATGTTGAATTTTTAATTGTTTAGTTTCTAAAAGATTATGTTTTAAACTTTTAAAGTAATTAAAAACAAGCTTTTTAGCCTAACACAAAGTAGTCGTTTAGCAAAAAAAAACGAATTTTAAGCGGGGGAACCGGGGGAACGGGGGCGGGACCGGGGGTGATGGAGGTAACCGGGAGCGGGACCGGGAGCTATGTAAACGGGGGTGCCGGGGGCGGGACCGGGAGCGGGGGCAGCAATTGATTTCGGGGGCGGGAGCGGGGGCAGCTATTCCCGCTCCCGTTTGGTCCCGTTGACATCCCTAATTGAATCCTCATGCTCCCAAGTGAATTCAGGTCCCCGCTTGGCATTCCAGCGAACCTTCACTATCAAGATGCGACTTTGCTTTGTTCGCTTGACCTCTCGATCCATGATTTCGACTGGCTCTTCCACGAAGTTCAGGTATTTGTTTATTTCAATCTCGTCGAGAGGGATCGTAAGAGTTTCATCGGATAAGCACTTTTTATGATTTGAGATGTGGAAGACAAGATGAATGTTACTAAGCTCTTGAGGTAAACGGAGTTTGTATGCTATGGGACCGATCCTAGCAAGTATTTTGAATGGTCCTATGTATCTTAGATTTAGCTTTCCACGCTTTCCAAAGCATATTATGCCTTTCCAGGGTGAGACCTTCAGCAAGACACGGTCACCAACCTGGAACTCCAATGTTTTTCGTTG